TAAAAGATGGTAACAAAAAAATTTTTATCTTACTACTTTAAGTTTTGCACAGTTCCTAAAAGAAAAAGGCTCCTGTTGTACAAGAAGGAGAATAAAATTGTGAGTTGATTATTGCATTGGATGCATTCGGATTTCCTTAAAAATTACATTCTAAATGGATTGGACAATACACTTTATGGAGTGTATAGTTCGATAGATTCGGCCAAAGATCTATGGGATTCGCTGGGAAAGAAGTACAAGACCAAGGATGCCGGAACAAGGAAGTTCATTGTGGTAAGTTTTTGGACTACAAAATGGCAGACTCCAAAATCGTGATAAGTGAAGTACAAGAACTTGAAGTTCTACTTCATGATATACATGCTGAAAAAATAAAATTGAGCGAATCCTTCCAAGTTGCAGCCATCATTAAGAATCTCCCCCCTATGTGTAGAGATTTGAATAACTATCTCAAAAACAAATGGAAGGAGATGTTGAAAGAATTGATAATCTGTTTGAGGATAGAGGAAGACAATAGAAACACGAAATGAAATCTATTGTTCAATTTGGAGCAAATTTTATTGAAATTGGTTCGAAAGTTGTCAACAAGAAATGCAAGATCTCCAGTGTTGTACGAAAAAATGACAACTCCAAGAATGCCAAGAAGTTTAAAGGCAACTGTTAAAATTGTGGAAAAGTCGAACATCGCTCTAATGAATGTCGAGAGCCTAAAAAGAAAGCACAATCAAATGTGGTTGAAAAAGACACCCTTGTTGAAGGGATACAAGAGATGAATCTTTCAACGACTGTTTCTGAATATAACAATGTTGAAAGTTCAAAAGAATGGTGGGTTGATACTTGTGCTACTTGTCACATTTGTACAGACAAGACTATCTTCTCTAACTATAAAGAGTTAATTGTAGAACAATTTTTTATGAAAAATTCTTCAAGTTCTAAAGTTAAAGGACAAGGGAAATTTACTTTAAAGATGACATCCGGTAAAGAACTCGTCCTCAGCAATATCCTACATGTATCGGACATTCACAAGAATCTGGTATGTAGGTCATTACTTAGCAAAAATGACTTTAAACTTGTATTCGTATCCGATAAATTTGTATTCACTAAGAACGAGATGTATGTTTGTAAATGATACTTATGAGATGGAATATTCAAAATGAAGTTCTTACAATTGTATAAAAACAAAGCATTATGAATTAAACTTTAAATTCTACTTATATGCTCGAGTCATCTTGTTTATGGCATAGTCGATTAGGACACGTCAATTATAAATCTATGCGCAAACTTATGAATCAAAGTTTAATTTCAACGCTTAAGATTGATCCTAATCATAAGTGTGAAGTATGTGTTGAAGCGAAGTTGGCGAAAAAACCTTTTCACTCAATTTAAAGGAACGCAACACTTTTAGTGTTAATATATAGCGATATATGTGACTTCAAATATGTTCAAACTAAAGGTGGTAAGAAATATTTTATAACTTTCATTGATGATTATACAAAATATTGTTATGTTTTCTACTATAGTAAAGGCGAAACCGTAGGTGTCTTTAAACATTATAAGATGGAAGTTGAAAATCAACTTGGTAAATGAATAAAAAGTATTCATAGTGATAGATGTGGTGAATACGGGGCACCGTTTGAAGAATATTGTTCCAAGTATAGAATCATTCATCAAACAATGAAACCTTACTCACCCAAATCAATTGGTGTTGTCGAATGCAAAAATCGAATTCTTAAAGAGATGATGAACTCAATGTTGATAAGTTTGGATCCACCTCAGAACTTGTAGGGGAATTTATTATATGGACAAATAGCATTCTTAACAAGATACCTCTTAAGAAAATGGAAGAAACTACATATGAACTATGGAAATGTCATCATCCTTCTTATCAACACTTGAAAGTGTGGCAATGTTTGGCTAAATTTGAAGTATCTAAGTCTAAACAATTGAAAGTGTGAGAATGTTTTGGGCTCTCTGTCAACATGGTAGCATTCATGTTCTATGTTATGCATCAACCTTTCATTTTGGCCTATTTTGCTGGTATATCGATTGCCTATAACTAACATATCTTATATGTGACTTTTGAACCTGTAGATGCTTGGAACTGAAGGAACATAGGTTTACTTATTGCAGTTACACAAAACATTTTATTGTATTTTGATTGTTTTCTATATGTTACAGGATTCGATAGGTTGTACTACCAGTACATTCCAGAAGGGAAGGAGTATCCTATTTTATGTAGGAAATTATCTACTGGGTTTTATAATTAAGAAAGAAGAGAAGGTAGAAAGTTTGGTTATCATGTGTGAATAATGGATTCTTAAGATTCTAATTCAGAAGATTAAATTTATACTACTTAAGAGATTAGGTTCTTAACAATTTTTAAACAGCACCTCTCAATTATAGATAGAAGGCAGTGACACCCACTAACCAAGATTAGGTGTAATATTGGTCTCAATCTAGTACTCTAGTTTTGTTTGTCTTGGGTGTGGTGTAATATTACTTTCAAATTATATTGATGTGTTCTTTCCGCCACTCATTTTTTCTGATTTATTTGTTGGTCAGTGTAGCGCCCCGAGTTCTGTTAACCCGGATTGCCATTTTTTTATTCCTAATTACTGACTCTTGTATCCATCTCTCTTTCACAGGATGGTTTGGAGAGGATAGGCTAGAGAAGTGTAAGCAATTGTGGACGATGATAAAGCAGCTTAAGTGGGAAGAAGAAAATTTCAGAATTTAGGTTACGTCGATGGTGATTTGGGTGGAGAAATCTCTCAGCGGAAATTGGAGATGATTTGGAACTTAAATTGGTCTATATCGAAATGTACATCTATTATCTTGTCTCTCTTGAAATTTAATTAATTTTGTGTGTATGTAAACTTTAATTTATTAACTTCCCTTGAAAAGAATAATAATAAATAATAATAATATATATTATTATTTTTTTAAATTTTCATTCAAATTAGCGACGGAAATAAGAGACGGAATTCTGTTGCTAATCATCGACGCAAATGATTCGGAGGTAATTTGCGACGACAAATTCCGTCGGTGATTTGCGACAGAATATTCCGTAGGTAATTTGTGATGGTTATTTCCGTCGGTGAAGATAATCCGTCGCTAATTTTACCGGCGGGGTGTTTGCCGACGGATTTACCGAAGGACGAAATTTGTCTCTGAAGCTCAATTCCAACGGATTTCGGGGCTTCAGCGACGGATAATTCCGTCTCTGAAGCCGCTGTTTTTTGTAGTGTATGTAATTGGCTTTGTTAAATAGAATCAATTTGAACTCGAGAAAGGTAAATTGAATATGTTTGAAGAATTCATCCGAACAATACAATAGTCATGAATCTTGATTAGTGAATTAAAAATGATCAATAGATGAAATTATAAGTTTTAACATTCACATTCATATTTTAAAAAATCGAATTTAATTAATTGTTTGCTTTTAGATAATTTTAATTTAAATAGATAATCTAAATAACTAATCACAAACTAAATTCTTTATTCTTTCATCAAATAGAGTTAAAAATAAAAAAAATGTGGAATTAAATAATAGTCATCGTGGAAATGATCATCCGGATTCATTGGTTTACTATATTTCTTATTCAAGTCGTACACTTGTAGGATAAAAAATCGACAAGAGGTGCCTCAAATGGTACATTATGCTATGGAGGATCAAATTTTACTATTAGAGGCTACGCTGATTTAGATTATGCACGTGATCTTGAGAAAAGTAAGTCTACCATAGCTTATGTGTTTACTCTTGTTGGAGGAACTGTAAGCTTGATTTCAAAATTATAGTCTATCATATCTACTTCTATATGGAGGTAGAACGTTGCAGCTACACAAGCTAGAAAATAAGCAATCTGATTGCAAATGTTAATGGAGGAGCTCAAACACAAAAAAAAAAAAAAAGAGAGAGAAGATTGCTTTATTTTGTGATAGAGTGCTTAGTACTTGGCAAAGAATCAAGCATTCAACCCGAAGACAAAACACATCGAGTTTAATAATGTGGAAGAAGAAATTGTGAATATACAAAAAATTTATATAGAGGACAACCTTGCAGATGTGTTAACAAATTTATAAGATGTCAATTCTCGATCGGCCTACCAAAAACGCAAGGATCATAGAAATGACAAGTGCAAGAATGATGGAAGAATTACAACAAAAATGATTTTAAGTGGATGAAACGTTTTTTAAATCACTTTTCTTGACTTGTACGCATTATATGCTAGGTGACTAGCAGATAATGCTTAGAAAAAAAAAAAAAAAGAAAAACTACGTAAATGCATAAATTTTAGTCAATTTCCACTTCATACGAAATGTCTACACGAAATGCAGCCAACTTTTTATTATTTATATTGAAATTGTAGTGCTTTACTTAATTAGGTATGTGGTGACATTTCACTATAAGTAGGGAATGCAGTTCGAAGAGAAATGATACAATTGTAGGGAGGTGAAGAGAAAATAAATAGTGCATAGAAAGACGTAAAAGTATAGAGAAAAAAATATTGACTTCCTACGAGTGTTTCTTACTTAGTAACTTCTATTAAAGAGAGATTAATTATTATTATCATTTTGTATTTAAAGAGAAGGTTATTGTGATAATTCTACTATAGTGCATCTCGTGTAATTGCTCGTAGACGTAGTCTAAATTCGGTGTACAACGTAAATTTTTGTATTTTTCTCAGTTTCACTTTAATTACGTGCCAATCTTAACCCATATTTTTCCTAATAAAATATATAACATTGTCGATGAAGTTGAGTGTAAGAAACATGTTCCAGCTAGATTACCAATATTTATATTCTCCTAGTCAATACATGACGTGCATTTTTTTAAATTTTTTTTTCTAGTCTAAGAAAAATATAAAACTTATAGAGGTAAAATATTATCAAGTTGTATCCGAGTTAAGTATAAAAAGCATAATGGACCATTATAGTCTACTACAATTAATTTGGGGCGCCTCTGATTTTCTAGATTTCTTGAATACTAACTGTCAACACTAATGGCCTCCAATAACGAGTCTAATTCTTCATCAAACACTTCAATCGAGTCTTTACTAGATGAACTTCCTAAACACAAGTTTTTCGACACTTTCGACATTTACCAGTGGGAAGGTTTCTGGTACGAACGTCATATCCTCGAAGCAGCATTAGCCTTTAAATCACAGTTTATAGCCCGAGATGACGATTTTATATTGGCTTCGACTGTGAAAACAGGCACAACATGGCTCAAGGCCCTTTGTCTGTCGATCCTGTTTGGAAATCCCGACGACAAAAATAGAGAAGAAGAAATTCTCAAGAAAGGCAGTCCTCACATCCTCGTGCCGACTATTGAATCCATGATTTTCGAAGAAAATCGATATGCTATTATTGAAGGTATGCCTTCACCTAGACTGATACACACACATTTGCCTTACAATTTTCTTTCTGATTCACTAAAAAACTCAAAATGCAAGATTGTTTACATAACAAGAAATCCTAAAGACACGTTTATCTCTTGGTGGCACTTTGTGAATTCAATTCTGAGGCCAAATCAAGAGCCATATCCTTTGGAAAAAGCATTTGAGTGGTTTTCCAAGGGAGTGTACATTCATGGCCCATTCTTTGATCATGTTTTGCAATACTGGAAAGCAAGTTTGGAAATGCCTGAGAGAATATTGTTCTTGACATATGAAGAACTTAAGACTGATCCAAAAGGGCAAGTGAAGAAATTGGCTTCCTTTTTGGGAAAGTCTTTTGATGAAGTGGAAGTTGATGATATACTGTGGAAGTGTAGTTTTGAGAGGCTTAAGAACTTGGAAGTGAATAAAAATGGTTACATTCCATGGAATGGATTGTTGAATGCATCCTTTTATCGAAGGGGCGTCACCGGGGATTCGAGAAATTATTTGACGCCTGATATGGAAGAGAACTTGAGTCAACTATGTCGCGAGAAGTTTCAAGGATCTGGACTTGATCTTTATTTATGATGTTGAAGATCAAAATTATTGGCGTGTTGGATAGAAGAACTAATAGTTGAATATTGCGGATCAAACATGCAATATACGCTGTCATTTGATCGATAAATTCGGATGTATAGTCATTTCAGGACAATGTTGTTTCTGCGTGATTGATTTCCTTTTACGTAGAAATTATTTATGAAATGTTAATGTAAACTTTTATTTACGGTGTTTAACATGTTAAGTTTCATATTTAGGATATGTTTGATGGAGATTTTTGTGGAAATAATATATTTTAAATAGTGATATGATAGGAAATGTGTGGTTGGAAAAAATGTAAAGTTATTGATGTGATGAGAAATATTATTTTATTGAAAAATGTGTGGTTGAAAATGAGTAGAAGAATGAGAATGAAAATTTTAATATGTACCAAACAGTGGCTAAATGGTATTAATGGTATGTTAAGTGTAACTTTTCGTTAAGAATATTTTGATGGAAAATGTGTGGTTAAAATTGAAGAAAAAGTTATTGCTGTGATGAGAAATATTATTTTATTGAAAAATGTGTGATTGAAAATGTGTAGAAAAATAAAAATGAAAATGAGAATTAGAATCAAACAAGTGGTAAGTATAAAAGTATTATAAAACATGAATATCTCAAATCATGTATGAAATTCGTGCTGCATTAATTGGTTGCATCGAATGCCATGTTACTTTAAAATGTAGTAACCTATCTCAAAGTCAATTGTGGCTCTTGCCACTTCGTGCTTAGAAATCAAAATGTAGAAGTCCATAAGTTAGCTTTATTTACGGTCTTTTTTTTTTAAGAGTTATTTACGGTCTTAAATGTAGTAGTTCATAAGTTAACTAAATTTACGGTCTTAACTTTGGCTCACTTTAGCCTTGGTTTGTCATCCTTTAAAATGTTAAATTGTTTGTTATAGTACCATTTTCCATCACATATTCACATAATAAAATATTCTACATACAAACCAATAAAGTTTTCTTACTTTTTAATCAAACATTTCCATCAATCTACTACTCTAGAATACATTAAAAAAAATTAATGGCTCTCAAACATGGCCTTAGTTGGATTGATTGTATTCCAATTTGGATAATTAGCACATAACATTCTTATCTTTCACTATTATTGTAAAAAACGTTCTCATCTTTCATATTTTTCGTTGGAAAATATTGAATGAAAAGTAATGGAAAGGTCATCCGTTGGAAAGTTACACAGGCAGCTTCATCCATTCAAATCACAATCAGTTTAATCAATTTTATCTTTAATGGTATAACTTCTATATTCAATTTATTAATGAGCATGCTTCTGTTCTATCTCCTGTTCTATGGGTATAAATAGATGATATATCTCGGTTGAAAATACAAGAAAAATACGAGTTTTCCTTCTAAACTTCTAACATCAAATTTCTTCTTTCCGGTTTTGTTCATTTCCTTCATTTGCTAAAGTTCTTTGAGAGATAAACACAGCTAGTTCGTAGGTGATTAACGTAGTGCGGCGTGAACCGACAACCGATTGTATCCTAGGAATCGAACACCAATCAAAACCTTTTGCATTCTAGTGAGGCGGCGAATTCGATTTAAGGAAATTGTGTAAACACGGGCCTTCGGTTTGATTTGACTCTCCATTATTATCCCACAAGCATAAATCGAATTGTTAAATGGCGTCACATGGAAATGATGATGTAAACAATGGAAACAACAATGTTGGTTCCGGTATACCAAATCCCGAAATGACCGCTGTCAACCCTATGGAGACCTCGACTGGAATTCCTCCCGTTGTGGGACGATTGGTGGTGGGATTTTTCATGTTAGAGTGAACCTCACTTTGCTTACGGCTACGGCTTCGGTAATCCAGTTTGGCACAATACTTTTCCAGTACCTAGGGCCGCGACCTGGGTACCTTTGCATCGTTTCCGGCTCCATTTTCGATAAATCATGCAATTCGATCGGATAAGTTTGCTGGTACTGATTCGATTTAAGGAAACTGTGAATACATAGGCCTTCTGTTTGATTTGATTCTATTATATATTGTTGGAAACTATTTAATCAGTTTCTTTTGGTTGAATGAAAAATTAGAAATCGTTTCACATTTTGGTTCAGTTTCAAGTTGTGGTTGAATGTAAAATTAAATCTCATTCTTCATTACCAGTTTTAATTTCAATTGTTTCATTTGTTACTAAATGGAAATTAATGATATGGTTAAATGGAAATTATAAGTAGCTCACCTATATAAAGCCAACTTCATTCTCGGTTAACAACACAATGAACAAAAACAACAGCCTCAATTTTGTTCTTTTTCTTCTTTTTTCTAAAGTTCTTTGAGAGATAGACACAGCTAGTTCGTAGGCGGGTAATGTTGTACAGCGTGAACCGACAATCGATTGTATCTTGGGAATCGAACAACAATCAAAACCTCTTGCACCTCGATGAGACGAGCCTTCTATTCGATTTAAGAAAACCGTGTAAACATGGGCCTTCGGTTTGATTTGATCTCCAGTATTTACCTACAAGCTTAAATTGAATTATTTGGTGAATCAAATTTTCTTTTGTTCATCAGTTCCTGGAAAGAATTTTTTTCCTGATCGTGATATTTTTTTTCCAGTTCATGTTTTCCCTCATTTATGCTCACCATTTACATAAAGTGTATTAAGGTAGATTTCGAGTCGATAAAAATTGGAAACAAAAAATTTACTGGAAGTTTGGTAGTCTCTGCATGATTTCTAAGGCGGTGGTTTTGCATGATATTTCAACTTGCATGGTTTTCAAATTCATTTGGTAATGATTGTTTAACTATTTTATAATTACTAGTAATGATTGTCTCATCATTAGAATATAATTGCTTACTTTTTCTTTTAATGGTTGATTTTAATAATTGGTTAATGATTTTCTAATTCATGTTTAAATAATTGTTAATTTGTTAGAAATTTGACTAAATAATTTACTCTGACAAGGCTAATGTATTGGAGCAAGGCCAGAGTTCTGGCACCAAGAAAGGTCATTCCTTTAAAGCTAAACAGGGTAACGAAAATTGGAAAGATAAAAAGTAGACCACGAAAGGGTCTCAATTGAAGCCTACCTGTGGGGTAGGAAAGAAACCTAAGTTCCAGTTCAATGGAAATTGCTTCAATTGTGACAAAGTTGGGCATCAATCAGCAGACTGCCGTCAGTTGCGAAAGGATAACAAGTAGTGTCCTCAGGCTAATATGGTTGGAAATGAGAGAGATCATCTCTCAGATGACATGTCTGACCTAAACCTTACAGCGGTAGTTAGCGAGTTTAACCTGGTGGGGTCTAACCTTGAGGAGTGGTGGCTAGACACTAGGGCCACTTGATGAGCATGTTCACTACTTTCACACCAGTTACAAATGGTGTAAAGTTGTTTATGGGAAACTTTGCAACTTCTGAAGTGCTTGGTAAAGGTAAGGTGATCTTGAAGATGATATCTGGCAGAGAGCTTACTCTGACTAATGTCCTGTACGTGCCAGAGATTCGCAAGAACCTGGTTTTTGGGTCTCTTTTGAACAAGAATGGTTTTCGCATGGTCTTTGAGGCGGATAAGNTTAACCTGGTGGGGTCTAACCTTGAGGAGTGGTGGCTAGACACTAGGGCCACTTGATGAGCATGTTCACTACTTTCACACCAGTTACAAATGGTGTAAAGTTGTTTATGGGAAACTTTGCAACTTCTGAAGTGCTTGGTAAAGGCAAGGTAATTCTGAAGATAACCTTTGGTAGAGAGCTTACTCTGACTAATGTACTGTATGTGCCTGAGATTTGCAAGAATCTGGTTTCTGGGTCTTTTCTGAGCAATAATGGGTTCCGTATGGTCTTTGAGGCAGACAAGTTGGTGATTACTAAAATAGAAGTTTATGTTGGGAAAAGATATATGATTGATGGCCTGTTTAAACTGAATGTAATTGCTGCAACCCCAACTATTATAAATAATGAGAAAACTCCTTTTGCTTACTTGCTTGAGTCTCCTAATCTGTGGCATGGTAGATTAGGTCAAGTAAAATAAAATGCATTACGTAGTTTAAGCAAACTAAACTACTTGCCTAGGTTTCAAATTGATTCAATTCATAAATGTGAAACCTATATTCAGGCTAAGCTAACTAGGTCTTCGTTTCGTAGTATTGAAAGAAGTATCGAGCCATTCGGAATAGTCCACGGTGATGTGTGTGACTTAAAATTAGTCCCAACAAGAGGCGGCAATAAGTACTTTATTACTTTTGTCGACGATAGCACGTGATATTGTTATGTGTACTTGCTTAAAAGCAAAGACGAAGCTATCGAAAAATTCATTCTTTATAATAATGAAATTGAAAATCAACTTAGCAAGAAAATAAAGGTGCTACGAAGTGATCGTGGTGGTGAATATGAATCACCATTTGGTGAATTTTGTGCTAAATTCACCAAACTACTACATCTTATTCACCTCTGCAGAACAGAATTGCTGAGCGTAAGAATCAAACATTAAAAGAAATGATGAATGCTATGTTGATTAGTTATAGATTACTACAAAACATGTAGGGACAAGTTCTTCTTTCTGCGAATTACATTTTGAATAAAGTGTTAAGAAAGAATATAGATAAGACTCCGTATGAAATTTGGACAGGTCATATACCTTCGTATAAATACTTACGAATGTGGGGGTATCTTGCGAAGGTCGTGGTGCCTCCTCCTAAGAAGGTCAAGATTGGGCCTAAGACATTTGATTCTGGCAGCAGTAAAGATCCAGTCGAATAAGGTGAGGATGAGCCTAAACGGAGCAAAATGACCAAAACTTCTAAAACGTTTGGCCCTAATTTTCTCACATATTTGATAGAGAATGATCCTCAAAGCTATAAAGAAGTTATATCTTCTCCAGATGGTCATCTGTAGAAAGAAGCCATCAAGAGTGAAATCGATTCTATCCTACAGAATCATACCTGGGATTAGTAGATTTTCCACTGGGCTGTAAGCCTTTGGGCTACAAGTGGATCTTCAAGAAAAAGATGAAAGTGGATGG